TCCTTCCTCCAGCAGGTCCTTCCTCCAGCAGGTCCTTCCTCCAGCAGCTGTTAGACTCTACAACCATCACTGCTCCAACAAACTCTACAAGGATTAAATCCATGCTGACCTCTGCTGAAACACACTCTGCCTGTAATACTGTGCTGTCAATACTCTGTCCTTATCAATGTTCCAACACATATTGAACATTATTATTGATATTGTTTATCTTATTTATTATATATTGTTTTAACATTTAGGAACTTTTGTGTGAATCTTTTCATCTGTTCTGCTGTTACACTTGAATTTCCCATCCGTGGGACAATAAAGGCCGTTTCTATTCTATTGTACAGTAAAAAAATCAAATACTGTAAATAAACTACACTTCATCCCGTCTTCTGTTTCCATCTTGCCATTGCATCTCATCCACATCACAAGCAATGTTTTCCCTGGCCAAGCAGCAGGGGGAATATCAAACAGACTTTGTTGGTTTATCACCCAGCATGGCAAATACAGCCATGAAAAGCATCAGCTGCCATATGTCCACATGTGTCTTCCATAAGTTGGAGAAGGGGTATATGCATTTGTGAATTTAGATCATATACTTTCCATCTCCAGGCAGAAAAAAATCCTCAGTAGGATTAATGAATGGAGAATATCAGAGTCAGAGAGATTTATTTGTCATACACACCACATGTGGTACATGTGGTGGAACGAGATTATGTACACAGGGTCCCAGTTACATCCAACATTAAAATGTTAAAAGAAAAACAGTAATACGATCCAAGATATGAACTAAGAAAAACATCCGATCCGATGGACTTCCGGCAAGATGGCGGAGAGAGCGGCTGCGCTGTGAAGACCTCCAGGTAGCATAGCTCGAAAAAAGATGTAATTTGAAAAACTGTGATGTCCTGACTCATTACAAGTAAAGGAGGATCAATCCGAAATGCCAGCCTTTGCTCCTTCTTCTTTCCTTTTTAATGGCACTATACAACAACACACATCAACAGCACATCTAGGGGTGGGGGTGTATGTGTCGGGGTCTTATTTTT